AAGAAATAGGTAGAATTTTTGGGATGCAGGGCTGGCTGCTCCAAATGACTGACCTCTGACAGGGTTGCTTCAGGGTTGCTTTTAGCCCTTCCAGGCTATCATGGAAAAAACCTGTTAGTTAAATTAAATAGCTAAACTTAAATAATGGAAAGGCAGTGAGATGTTCCACTGGAACATAGTTTATGTCTGCTAAGTGGAATGTCTCTCCTTCCTCTAGAAATCATTTCTTTAGCCAAGCTTGTTATGGAAGACACCGAAGGCTAGGGTTTTTAGCAGGTCTGCTTGTGTCAAGAGTGTGAGAATTATTCTTGGGAAAATTAAGTTTTTAAAATCAATTAGTAACTTTATAAGAAACTTATAAAGTTATACGTAATACTTTTCTGTGCATATTTGCTAAGTATGTCCTGATTTTTTAAAATTAGGCTTATTGTTTTAATAAGTCCAATTTATTTATTACTTAGTTTGCCTTAAAAGCAGAAGTATCTTAATTTTGTATAAAAATATAACATTTTCAGAATTGTAAAGCAACAGGGAAGAGTTCTTTTGGGAGACATTTTAATTATATATTTATTGATTTTAGTTTAAAATGTTTTCACTTAAAATGGATCTATATGTTCCTGAGTCTTAAAGAATATACTGTAATTTCATTTTTGTTAGGAAAAGAAAGTAGACAAACAGCTTAATTGTGAAACCGAAAGAGCCATCAGCTTGTAATACAAAAATGTATTTTGAACTTCACCTTCCAATGAATCAAATGGATATGGGAAAGCACTGGCTTTTAGAAAAAGGGAAGGGAAAGCCCAGAATACAAGTTTACCACGTGAAATACTTTCTAATCAGCCTCATTTTCTGAATCTGAATTAGTTTTTACTACTTTTGATTTTTTATTGTAGACGAAGTCATTGCAAATTTACTTCACAGTAGAAAGCATGAAGAAGTAGAAAAGAGGAAGCAAAAATGTTATAGTAAACAGGTGTGGATTCAGACTGGAACAAATCTCATAGTCAGAATGTTAAGGATTAGCATTATATTTGCATATATTTTATATTTTTTAACAGTATCAATATGCTTGAACTTTGGGGACAGAAAGACATCTTAAGAGTTTCCAGGGCTGAGCATTGTCTGGCCTAGTCTTAATGTTGCCTAGTATAAGAGGTAAACACATTGCACTAATGTGGTTTCTTATTCTTTGATAGTGCGTTGTCTAAGCCTGGTCTCTTTGTCTCAAAGTGTGTCATCATTTCGTAAGATAATGTTTCAGAATATTTTTTTCAGTATTCCCAAACTTTGATTTTTTTTCCTGTCAGAAAAATTGAAAAAGAAAGAAACATCCTTGCATGGAGAGTCTCTTCACCTTCCTAATCATATGAACAAGGTGTGAACTCCACTGTGCGGTTGAATTCCTTATGGCTAAATATACATCCAATCAAGAACAGCCTGAAGCTGCTATTGACAAATCGCGAGGATGGGTCGAAATCCAGAAGGGTGGTAGCATTAGTCTCCTGCAACAAAGTCTTGTGCCGCCTCCAAGAAATGTACCGGATGCTCTTGCTTCTTACGTGCATTAACAGTCAGTGCCCACAACTCTTGTTTTCTCCTTGTAGCTCTCAAACAGCAGAGGGCAGCTATACTTCACATGCCAAAGCCTGAAGCATCCATGGTTCAGTCACCACACCTGGATTCACTTATTTGTCTGCCTAGACCAATGTTTTTCAACCCTGGCAACTTTAAGATGTGTGGACCTCAACTCACAGAAGTCCCCAACATTGGGTTAGACCATGTTTATTCTACTTCTGTGCTCAGGCTGTTTTGCACGTTGAAAACGTCCAAGTTAGATGCTGTTTTACATGGTGGAAAGTAGTTTCAGTCGGTTGCATAGTTCTTCACTGCAGCAGAACGTTTTCCTTTAGGGTTTGCAGGTGGCTGCTTGGGTTCTGGACAGTATGTGAGTAGAGATAGGATACAGTTCTCTGGTGCCTCTTGCACACTCTTACATTTTCAAGAAGGACATAAAAGAGCCTACTGATGTTTCAGGTGCTACTCATGTAATGGAAAGTTGAGCCATAGTTTTGTGAAAACTAGTGACTGCTTATGGAACCTGAGCCACATACTAGTGTTGGAAAGTTTTAAAACGCCGTTCTGTTAGTGCAAGGCCTCTGTCTGCATGTGTGTGCCCCCTTCCACCCCTCCTCCCAAATCTGGCTAAATATTCAACTATGTAACAATAGATGTAAATTGGTTGGGCTCCATTTTCCATCATCACCAGTGACTTACTAAATTAGGGACAACTGCCTTAGTTTGCTTGGAATCTTTTATCACCTTTCAAACTGCTTGGCAAAAGGCCTCGTTTTGCACCACGCGTACCTTGGGCTAGGATTTATCTTCCCTCTCTTGGTCCTCACTTTTGACAGCCAATACACTGTTCCAGTCTATTCTTGCACCTAATTGCTGCGCCAGCTGTCAAGCGATGCAGATGCAACTGGTAGTTCCCAAATGGTATCGGAAGTCTGAGCATGCCAAGACCCTCCCATTCCAGACTTGGAACCTCTGGAAAGGGCTTGGCAATGAGGGGCAGTGTTGGTTCCAGTAGTTTTACTTGTCCTTGTTAGCGATTGGACTTCTGAAGGCCTTCTGCTGGCTGTCTGCAAATTTCTTGGAGAGACCGAGCTTAGTTGAAGGTGGAAGGATATTCTGAAGCTTCTGGCTTTATTCATGGGCCTTTGCTAAACCTTGGGGTGGGGGGGCTGGCAAGTGAGTGTTTCCACAGCAAAGGCAACTTTTTAGGTTCTGTGTGGGCAGAACAGCTGATACTGATGCTTAGAGAGCATAAGTGTCATAGAGATGAATAATAGGCAAGTTCTGATCCTCAAGATATTTAAATTCTGTTGTTATGGATCCCAGATTCTGAAAGTGTCTAACCTGTCCAGTTAACCAGCTGACACATGACAGTTTGCCAAGAAGGATGGCCAAACCTACCTCCACCCTCCTTTCCACACTGGCATTTACGATCTGGGTGTTCGAGCAAATGCCCCAGACGAAGAGCCAGTGAAATACTTTAAATTCCCAACATCTTGCTTAACCAAGGTGTACAGGAACTGGCTTTTTCCAGGGTTCCCTGAACTGGCACACTGAACAGGAAAGCAAAACAAAAAAAAGGCACTGGCACGGGTGACTTCCATGATTTAACCAATTTGTGGTCATCAGTTTGGAGTAGCTTTGTACTAGAGAAGGCTTGACTTGATGGCAAGAGGAGGGCCTTTCTGAACAGATCCCAGAGGAATCTATGGGGCGCTTCCATAACTTTGTCCGGCTGTGTTCCTAAATCCTGGTGGGGATGGTACAGTTGACCCTTTGCAATCTGCTCAGCACCCAAAGCGGAGCCCTTTGCTCTCCTGTGTGAGGTCCAAGTCTGCCGTTTGTGTTCAGGTTGCCTGCAGTAGGAAGAGCTGCAACTTTTATAAGGATTCCAGACTGTAAATGATCTGCTGCTTAAGTTGTCCAGAGCAGTTTGTGGATGCACGTTGTTGTAGAAGTTGGGGGAAAACAGATGTCTCCCCTTTCCAGCCCTTCACACCCCTCAGCATGTCCATCTGGCTGTGTAGATAACCAGCTAATTCCTTCCTTCTTTTTCTCCCGTAGGTCTCAGTGGTGCAATGGCTAGCATAAGTGTTCGCTCGAGCACCCCGGGCTCACCCACGCACGTGAGCAGCGGCTCCAACGGGAGTCGAAGGAGAAACGGACTCCATGATGTTGACTTGAACACTTTCATATCTGAAGAAATGGCACTCCACTTGGACAATGGTGGAACTAGAAAGCGTACCTCAGCCCAGTGCGGTGATGGCATTACGGACTCCCCGACCCATAAACGCAATCGTATGATCTAAATGGCAACATTGTTTTCACCTTCCCTTTCCCACCCCGTTGCTCGAAAACCCACTGGTGCTCAGCCACCCGCTGGGAAAACAAACTTGAGGCTCTCTCTTCCTGAGTCACACAAAAATTGCCATAAAAGAAAGAATACACCCTGAGGGTAGACTCCTCTTGAACCTATGGCTTTCTTCAGAGTAGATTCTTTAGCAGAGGATTTCCAATGTTGTGTAGTAGCTAGCAAGCTCATCGCAGGTAGAACTCACATCCGTTCCAAGGCTAAAAGTGACCTTACATGTACTCTTAAAGGGAAGAAAGGAAATATCAGACATTTATTTGGTTATAGATTGCTTTTTGTCCTTTATTTCTTGCCGTGTTTAAATATTTGCTTCAACAGTATTGCCACTTTGACAACAGTGTCAACACCATGACTTGGCATGTAAGACCCACAGGTTTCCTTTAGAATATAAATATATATATATATACATATATATATGTATTATTTTCCTTTTAAAGCTCTACTGGACACATAATTTTCTATATAAATAAGTGTGCAAGTTATAAGTATTGGCCTGTACCCATTTTTTAAGTTTAAAAAGCAGATGACTGTGAGGTGACATAAACAGGTTCCCTGATGGTGATGCGGCAGAGACTAAATCATTACAAAAAGGCTGTTTGTTGGGATTGTGTGTGTGAGCTCTAAAGCAGCTGCCCCAGGCCCTCCTCTTCCTCCTGTCCCAGGAATTTCTACCTGGAAGGTTTTTGGTTGATTGCTTAAGTCCCATGGCAGAATATTTTGCATTGATCGTCAGAGGAATGTGTTTTGTAACTGGGAGGATACGTGATTTTGGTAATACAGGTATGTATCATACGCTTCCTCTGTGTGTGTGGGGAGAAAACTGGGTGGGCAGGAACTTATTTTAAGGAGTGTTGGCCTTTGTGTTTTCCCATCATGGTGGGGATGGGTTTTGAGCTCTTTTTAGAAGGCAGACATTTTTAAATGTCTCAGGCACAACTTCTTCTTGGTCATTTTGATGAAATGTGAGCCTGTTGTCCTGTGCGAGAAAGATCCCTTTCAGGTAGCCTCAGTGCCAAGCACTGTAAAGCTAAACCAGCCCACGGCTTGGGGTTGAGCTGGCCAACCATTCATTCACCAAGAGAGGGTGATCTTGGTGCAGCAAAAAGTGCTACTGTTTTGAAGTCAGAGATGTGACACACCTACCCCTGAGTCACCCTTGGGAAATGTCAAAGGGAGCGGGGCCCGGATACAAGGGCTGAACTGCTCTACTTGGGTCCAGACTCCCCTCTCTCCTCCCCCCCAAAAATCTTGACATGCAGACCCTCCCTTCTCTAGCTCCAGAAATCTGTCCTGTTTTAATCAATGAAAAGGTTAGTGATAACTCACCCACTAGCTAATGTGACTTTGAAGATTGTAGTTTAGTCTTCCCTATTCTGGTGCCCTCCAGGTGTGTTGGGCTACAGCCCCTTCATCCTTCGCCTTCTGTGGAGTTTCTGGCTGAGGATGATAGGATCTCTAGTCTGCCATGACTGCAGAAGGGCTGTTTGCAGTGATTCCAAATAGCCTTGGAACCAGATTCCACTTGAATGCTGCTTGACTGGGCAGCTAGATAACACTGTTTGGATCTTAATTTAGAGCCTCGTACACTGTCAATCGGATGTTTTCCCAGATCTCTCCCTTCTGGTGGCTTCTCATTTCTCTTAATTTGGGAGGGGTCATATCCAACCCATGGAGACCTGTCTAAACAGCAAAAATCCTTGCAGTTTTGGCAGGGGGAGGGGGATTCAGGCAGCAGTGAGGGGCCTGTTGAATTGTGCACCCTTGTTTTTGCTTTTGAAAAATGTAATGTGAAGCACAGGGTACTCCAACTTAAAAGGCCACGAATATGCTCTGGGAGAAGCATATATGTTCTCATTTACTTTGTGGGGCTTTTTTTTAAGCATTGCTAATTGACATCTTAAACAGCTAGAAGTGACCTGTTCATGGAACTATGAGAATTCAAAATTAATCCCAGCCTCAGGTTGCATTATCTCTTAGATGTTCTTTTTAAAGATTGCCAATGTTAAGTGCAGCTCATGGATGGCTTTTTGACTTAACGAGAATCCAGACTGCAGAGTGTCCGTGTGACGTGGTTCTTTCCTATCTGGTCTAAACAAGCATTTCTCTCCTGAGAATTAGCACTTAACGTTTGTGGGTACAAGGTTAAAACTGGTGCAAAAGGATAAAGAATATTCTGCCAAAAAACACCAAGTAGTACTTCAGAAGCAAAGAATGAACTCTTAACTGAAAAACTCAACTAGTGAGTAGAGCCATCTAATACTCAGAAAGGAATTGGCCTGGAGTGGAGAAATAGGAAGTTCTTAATTGGGCCACTGATGAACGCACAGACTCCTTGATTTAAATCATAGGTGTACTGAATGAGTATGGAGCTTTGCTGAGGTTTTTGGTCCGTGGTTTCTCCAAGTAGTTATGAGCCCAGCCCAAAATGCTAGATGGAGAAGGTCAAGGTTGCATCCCAGTTAGATTGATAAAGAACGGAGCATGTAGCTCTCGGTGTGTGGAATTTGTCCTCCCTTTCCTCTTACCAATTAGACTAGAGTAATTCTTCTGCGCTTTGAAGCTTTGCTTTCAGTCTAGCTCCTCTGAACAAAATTATTTGAGCATTTAAAAAATTTTGGTGCCATCTTTCTGTTTTCGTAAAGAGAAAAACAGGCTTGGATAAGCCAGCTGCCCTTATAGTCTGTGTGCTTGTAAAGCTTCAATTTTTACTTTACTGCTTTTTAAAAACAAACTGTATTTGCTGTCAAAATGTTCACTCTCCTGCCAAAATAATCATAATCTAGATTGCATGATGGCCCTCATTGGAGAAGTGGGTTGTGTCACAAGCAAATTTCTTTAAAGCTCGGCCATGGAATATTCCCACAGGTCACTCCTTGATTGTGACTTTGGGAAGAATATAACTACTATAAAACAGACATGTTTAGTACTTAAGGTGGAGTAGAGAAGTAGTCTGTTGCAGTTCAGCTTTTTTATCTGACTTGATTGGATGCCCTTCTGGTGATACTTGTCTCATCTGTTTTCCCCTGTAAACCAAACTTAACATGAATGTGGGGCAGATTTTACATATAGTGTATCCTGCATTGAAGCTGAGCTTGGCTTGCATATACTAAAATTCAATTTAAATATTAAAACACTTGAGCTATAGTGAAGTAATGCAAAGCTGATTCTTCCCCCACCCTCCTTTGTTTGAAATGGAATTCCTGCAAATCTTCAAATGTGACCTTGCTCTGCTGGAGAAATAGATACCTTTTTAAAACCATAATAAAATCAAATAAATCAACACCGCGTGTTTGCTTCCTTGTTGAGCTAGTCAGGGTGGGCAGTCATTTGGTAACCTGGACCTGTGTGTAATATTTTGGGGCAGGGGCCGTGAGCTGTAGTGGGTGGGGTCTCGTCAGGTGGTGGGGCTGGCATTCTACATGTTTTTCCTGGGCTGCTGGGGCTTGAGCCCTTCCTTGGCCAACTTGATCCTGGGGAAAGAGCCTTATCTTTTTTCAGCCTCAGCAGCCTGCAAATGTGTGGACTATTATGGGAGCTTTCGCCAACCCACATGGCCAATGGAGGGATTGAGGCTTGAGGTCCCACGTTCTCCACCAGTGTTGGAGCAGAAGGACGCAGACTTTGTGGGAACTATTTTGGCAGATCCTGGGACTTGAGCAGTCATTCTGGATTGAGATTTAAAAAGTGTTTAATATCACAGCTCAGTTTTTCACATACGCAAATAGAAGCAATTCATCAAACTTTATCTTAGTGACATAATTAAGGGCAGGATGCTTTAGCCAAAGAGACGAAATTTCTTTGCGACCAAGTAAATGAATGGTCTTAAAAACAAGGAAGGATGATTTTATAACTATACAGTTCTTCCTTCCAGAGGGGCTCTCAGTGACTTACAAGACAGGTTAAAAAGGTGTGAAAGATTACAATAAAAACTTTACCAACAAGAATCAAAGGGATAATCCTTTTCTAGTTTTTTATTTGAACAGATTTTTAGTAGGACAGCCCTGAATAAAGAAGTAAAGATGTACATGCTGTGTAGGAGTGAACAAGAATTTTCAAGATAACTGGATTAATATGACATGCAACCCTACTGGAATTGCATCAATTGTAAGTAATTTAGAAAACTAGCTGAAACAGTAAGAATAATCAGAATAAACAAAAAGTTCTATTAAATTTAGAAGATTGAAGGAATGAGATGCATACCAGTGAGAAATTGAAGGGGGTTTATGCAAATACATTTACAGGCAGCACAGGTTGCTCTCCATCGTCCCAGGTCAAGGGTCTCCCAGAAGATGAGTTTCCGTTGAATGGATAAAAAGGCAAAATAAGCAGTTCAGCAGTGGAGCTCCTGTGGAGGTGGTGGAAGTACCTTTCTGGAGATGTTCAAACAGCCACTGTGTAACTATGCTGTAGAATTGCTTTGCTGGACAGGCAGTAGGAGTCAAGACCTTAGTGATTCAGCTCCTGGGTGTCATTTTCCCTGCTGCTATTAAATAATGGGAGGTGACAGTTCTCCGTGAACCTGCTTGCAGACCACGCAGAACTGCTTTCTGGTGCCCAAGGATCTCCATCTTGCCATTTGTGTATCTCCAAGTGCCACCAGGTGGTCACAAGTGAAGGGCTGTTTGTGAACGTTCTCTTGCAGGTCTCCAGAAACCCCTTATCTGATCCATGGCTGACAAACAACACTCAAAACATTCCTTGTCTCTGCTTTTCTGGTGTTCACACAACATGCTAAGCCTGGGTTAACAAAAAGCCGCTGCTGTGTTCACATAACATGCCCACAGTATGGCTTAATGTGATGACCCACTAGGTAGCTATTTGCCAATTACCCTATGCCATTTTAACACAGCTAAGTGTGTTGTGTGAGCCCAGCCAATGGTCAGGAGTTAGACCCAGTTCTGCAGTACCCTCTAGAGCAGTGTTGTCCAAACTTGGCCACTTTAAGATGAGTGGACTTCAACTCCCAGAATTCCCCCACCACCCCCTGCTGGCTGGGGGATTTTTGGGGTTTATGACAACCCTCTTTAAAAGGGCAAAGTTTGACAACACCTCTCTTAAGGGGAACGCCGAACTGGGGCTCACTCCCGAACC